GAACCTTAAAATCTTAAACAAAGCTTAGTATGGGGCAATGATATTTAAAATTAACACCTAATCATCACATACAATGCCATAAATAATGACCAGTACATGTTATAACTATGATTATGTAAACCCTCACCACTATTAGTGATCGACTGTAGATTTGAGACTAACACCATGTACTGATAAGATAGGTTATCACTATCTTCAGCCATGCAATATGTTCAGTCTACTGAGTGCTCAACACTTTCAATTATATCCCTTATTCCTCATATTAAGATTACCTATCTACAATAATTCAAATAACAGAAAGAATCATTAGATTTTTACTGCACCCCCCTACTGAGTCTTGGTCTTCAGTATTGTCTAGGTAAAGGGTCTGACTTACTCATACTGGCAGATCCCCCTTTCTTACTGTTTAGGGCTTTGGCTGGTCTGGTTACTGGTGTGGCCTTCTTTTGGCTAATCTTTGTTTTCTTCTCTGTTGAATGTACTTTTCCAGACGTTGATGGTAAGCTCTGATCCCCACTTTCGTGTGAATTTTCAACTTCTGATTTAATGCTCTTTGATCCTCCTGCCTTTTTTATTTCTTTTACACTAGGCTTGTTAGATGATGATGACAAAACACTAGCAGGGCTTTTAATTTTCTTTCCTTTCTGGTTCTCACAAACAGGTCCTTTTGTCCCTTGAGGACAGAACTTATTTACTGGTTTGTTTTCCAATTTCTTTATAACTGATGATGCCTTTCCTTTGTCTTGTATACCAAGAGCATTGTAGGAGCAAGCTTGATCAATCTTTTTCTTGTTTCTGCCTCTCTTAGCGATGCTCTCCTTTTCAGAGTTTTTGTGTGTATTAACAGTGCTCAGAGTTCCTTTTTTCTTAAGTACAGAACTTTCTCCTAATTCATCTGCTCTATCCTTTGCCAGGGGTTTCTTCTTTGTAGTAACAGTGGGTTGGAATTTTCCTTCCAATGGCTTAAATTTATCACCAGAATTCTGTAATGCTTTTTGTGACCTGTCAGAACAAGTCTTCTTTGTCACTGCCTTTGTTGTGAACAACTTTCCCTTACCACTAACACTGTTTCCCGTCTGACCTACTTCATTTTTGCTTCTCACAGTTCTAGACGAAGAAGCAGTAGCATTAGTAGAAGCTTTAGCAAATGTTACAGCAATATCTTGAGAGTCAGTCTGTCCTTTAGCTGTTGCTGCTGACCTGGCCTGTTGCAGGGCACTTATACGAGGTGATTTCCTAAGGGCAGCTCGCTCTGGAACCTTCACTCTTCTATCAGAGTCCTCATTGAGTAGTCCAGTCTTTCCACTGATACGAGATGACCTCCTCTTGGGTGTCACTGAGATTTTAAATTAATTTTTAAACAATAACATAAAAAAGCCAGAGTTTTACAATTTAGACCTATGACTATGTACAAAAGCAAGATTTACTATAAATACATAGGAATATTCTATTTTTATGTAGTTTACCTAAGTACTCAAACTGCATACAAAAAATTTTGTGAGCAAGAGCAGATGTGCTAAAAACAAACCTATTTATCAATCGCACAATCTAGCAGCTAAATACCTCTAAAGAAAGTTTAACTCACCCACCAAGGCTGCTATATCAAAAAAAAATTATAAGAGGGCTAGCATTCATCTCAATGACAGAAAAAAAAGAAAGACAAGAAAAGAAAAAGAAAAAAAAAAAAGAACAAAAACAACAAAAAACCTGAACATGAAAATATATTTGAAGATCTGAAAAGGAAAGGTTCCTTTATTACCTCCTGTGACCTTTGCTTTTAATATTCTCTTTACATTCTTTTGGGGGAAACTTCCTAGCTTTCTTCAAAACTCGCAAGAAGGATAATCAACTAGATAATAAATAAAACAAGCTGAACATTTATTGCCTCCGAAACATACTCTGAGACTGTCACAGCCACTCTTTGCACTATTTTGGATAATCTTA